TCTCCCTCACCTTCCCCTAAGGGTGGTAAGTTCTCCTACCATAGCAGTCATTAGGGAGATGGAGGAAAACCGGGCTGATGCACCAGTTTATCTGTGTTGGGATGCCTGAGTCCTGCAGGGCAAGGGGCAGAAGTCACTGCGTAGTATCCATAAGACTGTAATATGATATTGTTCAGCTGGAACAAGGCCCACTGCAGCATCTGCTCCCTGCCAGAGCACCCCAAGATGGACTGACAGATACTTTCTGGAGGAAGACTGAGCAGCCAGGGGTGCCACTGCCTGGCCTGAGATTTTACTTTTTTCTCTGTGAATATTGCTGCAGCTTGAGTTCAATCACCCTGGCCCAGGGATGCCTGTGACTACAGAAACTGCTGGACTAGGGACCCTGAGGGGTCTTCTGTAGGTAGTTTCTTTCCTGTAGGCTTCCCCTGATGAAGAAGAGAAAAGAAGGAGAAGGTTCTTTCTGCGGCGGGCCTTTTTTTTTTCCCCTAGGGAGAGCACAGGACATGGCTTTTCTCTCAGGTCCCAGGCTCCTCCTCCTTACACCAGCCTTGGTGTCTCATCTGGGCCCTGGAGTCGCAGTATGGCCAGGGCCTGCTCTCTGAGCCATTGCTGAGCTCCTGGCTGCCTCTGTTCAGATGACATGTTTCTTGGTTCTCATGTGTCCAGTGATCAATTTCCCCATCTTTGCAGTTGCCAGATTTTTGCCACTTCTTTTTGCTTGCAGTTTTTTTTTTTTTCTCCACAACATTCACTTGAAAATTAACAGAAGAAAGAAAACCAGAGTCATGAGCACCTCTGATTAATTCTGTGGCAGAGAATTTTGATTCTATCATCAAATGAGAGTTGAGGATTATCTGTTATTCATTCTGTTGTAGAAGCGCAGGCTTTCCCCTGGACCTCCAGGCTTTATCCGTTTGGAAATCTCTTTCATAACAACAGCACCAGCAGCAAGGCCAGGCTGGGAGCCAGTGACAGCTTGGATGCTGCAAACTGCAGGGTCAGGTTCCGGAGCGCCTCTGGGAGCCGCTGCAGATGCAGGCAAGGTAGCCTGGCTCCTCGTTTGCTGCAGGGACTTTGCCTGGGTAAATGCTGCTCTATATAAAGCTCAGAGGTCAATTTGAGGTTTCTTATTCCTTTTGGCCATGCTTAGATTTAGAATACTAGTGTAGAAAGTGCAGCTTTTCTAAAACCAGTAGTGTTGAAGTGGCTGGGAGCCTGGATGCTTCACCCCAGTCTGGGGTCAAATCTTGCTTAATCACAACTTGACTTTGGCTCTGTGACCCCAGATTTCCTCATTCATAGAATGAGGATTTTATTGTCTACCAGCCAGGGTTGCTATGGGAGGTAAGTGAGGCAACATATACAAGCATTTAACAAATAACAAGCATTCTGTAAACGATGTCTTGTGAGTGTTCTTTGCTACCTTTGGCATCATTATCATCACAGCCCAATACGCGCAAGTGGCTAAGCTGGGCCGGGAATAGCCCTAAGCGGATGGACCCCAAGGGAGCCTCTCGGTGCCTCTGAGCCCCTTGCAATGCCAAAGCACGCTCTTTGCCATTTCAGTAGCATTTCACTGGAAGCCGTGCCCTAGCATCTGCTCCTTTTGAGCATCACCATTGGAGCGGGGTCCCCAGAGACTCATTACATTCAGCTGCTTCTGGTAGTCAAAGCAGGTTTGAGAGCTGTGTGCATCCACAGCAGCAGATTTTCTTAATGCTGAGTCATACTGCAGGGCCTGCGGGCAGAGCCAGCCACCAAGGCGAAAGGCAGGCAGCAGTCAGGGGGCTCTGTGGCCAGGCCGCACAGAATGTCCTTTGAGGGATGGTAGTGACTGTTTGCTGTGTCAGGATGAAGGAAGGAGGGGGTGAGTGACAACATTCATTAAACACTTACCATCTACCCTGTCCCCTATAATCAGCTTTGATTGTGTTGAGCCCTCCCCAGGCTGCCCAATGGAGGCTGCCTTCTTGTAATCCCAGACACCCTCCTTAGTGGTGCCTTGAGACGAGCCTATCTCTCTGTGAAAGATGGAAGGTAGCTGTGGAAGAGACAGCCATTTTCTTGTTCTCAGTGTGATCTAATCCTGCCTCTGCTCCCCGTTAGCTCTGTTAATACCACCGTCTATTTGGGCCTAGGACAAAAGGAGCCTCTGCAAAACACTTCTTCTCTTACATTATCCCTGGACTCGTTTTGTTTTATAATCTTGGAAGGGTGGTTTAAAGCCAAGTGTTCCCCTCTCCCCTTTTCCAATGTTCTCTCATAAATTAATGGAAAATAATTCAGGAAGACAAAATTTTAGAAAATAAAAGGCGGCTTTGCAGCTAGCAAATGTTCTTGGTGAGCAGGAAAGTGAGTAAAAAGACAGTTGAGTTTTTTGAATGTTTGTATCTTTCCTGATTTGAAATTGGTTTTTAATTTTATTTCTGAAGTGAACATCTTTGGCATTTATTTAAAGAATTAAACATATGAAAGTTTCCAAATGGATGTCTATGCCTCCTAAGATAGATCAGCACTGGTCCGCATTATTGATATATAATCAGGAAGTGCTGTTCGGGAACATTTGTTTTCTTCATCAGCAAGAATTCTTTGAGCCTTTATTGGTTCTACTGTGTCACAAGGTTTTTCTGAGTGTTCTGTTTTGATACCAGTGTAACCTTGGGAAAATATCTACCATCATAAGAAAATGAGCAGTAAGAAGAGACTCCAGAGGTCACCTCCCCTGTGACTCTGCTTCTTTTACAAGCACGAGTGGACTTTCTACCGAGGAGAAAGGCTCTCTGAAACCCAGATCGCAGGCACTACTTAACATCCCTCCCTTAGGCTTTTTCTTACCACTTATGAGTAGTAATGACAGACACACAATTGGAAATAAAGACTACACCCCAGAGTCTAAGGGCATTTGGGGTGCCTGTTTATCTTCCTCTTTCATTGGCTAAGTGAGCCTTATTTTCAGATACTGAGAGGCTCTGTGCTCTCCACCTTGAGATCCTGCGTGCATCCGGTGCTCAGCACAGCCTCCCTCTAAGTCTTTAGTTGTGTGTTGCTTTTTCTGGATAAACCCTGGTGCACAGTAAAAGCCTCCCACTCCTGCACATAACCTATAAAAATTACCCTCCTGCTCAAATTCTTCCTTTCTGAAAGATGCTTCAGCAAAATGGTTAGGGAACAGCAAGTGAATATTTGTGATATTCTCAGAGGACAGAAATTCCAGGAATAAAAATTCCTACCAAGCTGAGTTGTCGTTTTCCTGTTCAAGGACCACCTCGTTACATAATACCAGAATGTTGGTTGGTCTCTACAGAGGAAGAAATGTGAGCTATTTGCTTTTGTAAGCCCAATGAATACCAGAAATGATCAGTAGAGCAGAGACGGTGTTTGAGTCACCCTGCGCAGTCTATTATCAGTGTTGACATTTTCTTAACTCTGCATCTATTATTGAAGGTCTCAAGCTGTTTGGTGACTTTCTCCCATGCAGGCTGCATTTGCTGGGCTTTTCATTATGGTTGAGATACTAGGCATTTAGTACATTTTTAATGGAATTTAACATGTCTTTAATATACAGTTTTTTTCTTGATTTCAGGAGCTCATTATTTATGAATCTTGAGGGGTTATGACTAAAACACTTTTTAAAGTATTTAAATATAATAGCTCAACCCATAGTTATAAGAAATTTCACAACCACAGAATTGATTTTTTTTTTAATTTTTAGGGAAGGGTCTACAGGGTGTTCAGGGTCTCACTACTAGATTGGACTCATAGTGATCCGCCTGTTTACAGCCTCCCAAGAGCTGGGATTACAGGCGGGCACCACCAAGCCCAGTCTCAATTGCCCTCTCAGCATTCCCCCGGGGACGGGGCAGCATGGCAGGCTTAGGGATGGGACCCCAGGCCCCTGCACCTGCTTGCAGGCACTTTAATCTTCTGAGCTATTTGGCCCACCCAAAGTCAGGCTTCCTTTTTCTTTTTTTTTTTTTTCCTTTTTGAAGTACTGGGCATCGAACTCAGGACCTTGCACTTCCAAGGCAGGTGCTTAAGCTGCTGAACTATATCCATGGTCCCAGAATTGATTATTGAGGAATATAACTATCTAAGTTCCTATAAAGCCTCTATCCTCTTTGTCTTCTGGGATTCAAGTCATAGAAGTTTGTCCACTACTTATTTCTTTGAAGGATACAGGGCGATATGAGAAGAGATGAGGCAAGGATAGAGAAAGTTCAAATGGTTCGTTATGTGTAAATCCAATGAATTAGCAACTTCATCTCTAAGTCTAGTGTGGTCAGCCTCTCCCTACTCCACTGTAGCTGCTCTTACTTGTTTTCCCCTCAAACTGCTGTTAATAAGAAAAACCAAAACCACCCACTCATGGCTCCCAAGGGGCTTCCTACTTAGTTCTTCTCAATACACCTTTCACCCCACAGGAATTCCCAGCCCGCCATCCACCGGGAAGGCCCTTGCTCTGCTCCCTCTACATGCTGTGCCCGCCAGGAGACACGCTGTGGTGACTAAGTAGTTCTCTCTAGCTTAGAACTTGAGCACGACCGCAATGGGCTGATTTTAGAAAAGACTTAATCATCACTATATCTATATTGAAGCAAATTTAGCATGATAAAAACAGTATGTTTTAAATTCAAGCCCCGTCTTAGGTTAGCTGAGGGCACAATGAGTTTGTCCAGAAACTAGTATGTATTTGCCTCCACCAGTACAGCCTCTCCTGAGTCATGCAGAGTTTCACAATCTCTGTGATTATAGTTGACTAACAGCGAAAAACTCTATCTTGGGATCCCTGTTGGTCCGGGGAGTGGCACAGACATTCTTGATGCTAACAGCTATGAAGGTCCTGAATACCCAGAGAATCCTCTGTCACCCAGCGCCTGACTGACATCTCTGTCACTTTTGTATTTGCTTAGCCTGAAGTGTGTGACATTGTTCTATAAATACCAGCCTTGTTGCTCACATAAGAGCTGCCTTGGATTCTTGGCCCCCACCAAATCCCCCAGATGCACAAGGCAGGCGACCCATCCTGGCTGTGAAAGGGAGCAGGGGCTTGGCTGGGTGTGGGCAGGGCCTAGCGCTGCCATCTCCTGCACTGTTTCCACAAATGTAACCAGAGGACTTCGGGGAATCAAAAATGAATCAGAGTCAGCTCCAGCTCTCAGGAGTATGCAGTGTAGTACAATAGAAGAGATGTGCATAGGTAATTATAACGTGAGAAAGAAAGAAAAGCCATGGGAAAGGAGGGAGAGGAGAAGGGGAGGAGGAGGAGGAGGAGGAGGAGGGTGGGGGAGCTCCCCTCCAAATGGGGAATCCTGAAAGTCTTCTGAGAGGATGTGCTTTTGAGGAGCAGAGGCTGAAGATTATGGGAAAATGGGTGAGCTATTTAGAAAATCATTGCTTTGAATTCCTTAGCTTTAAGGGCTGGCCAAATAGTTAAGTGGATTAAAGTGCCTGCAAGCAGGTACAGGGGCCAGGGGTTCTATCCCCAGGCCTGTTGTTCCGACCCTTCCCCCGGGTGCACTGAGATGCCAATTGAGACTGGGCATAGTGGAGCATGCCTGTAATCCCAGCTCTTGGGAGGCTGTAAACAGGCAGATCACTGCGACTCCAATCTAGTAGCAAGACCCTGAACACCCTGTAGACCCTTCCCTAAAATACAAAGGAAAA